AAGCTTAAGCTCAGCGAGCTGAGTCTGAATAATGTTAAAAACAGCCTGTAAAGTCATACATCTTTACTGCCAAATCACAGCATTGATTTTTCTATGGTATTCTTCAAGGTCTTGGTTTCCTAATGTGGTATCTTTGACCATTTGCATCACTTTTTGAGTAGTCAAAAACAGTTCAAACTTGCACCAAACTTGTGTGACAAAAAGCATTGATCCAAAAATGTAAAAACATGAGATGAGAATGGCAATACTTATGTCATCATATTCTAAGCACTTACACACTCTACACTTCAAACATTTGAATATATACCTGACTAAAACAAACTTTTTGAATACAGAATTATAACTGGAAAAGCAGCTTCGGCTTACTGCTGTTTATATATAATGACTGATTGCACTTATTGTACGTGTTGCGGTTGCCAAAATTGTCAGCTAAATTAAGTGGAAAGTCATATAATGTACTTGAGCAGAGAAAAATGTGTAAAACAAGTAAATTGTGTAAAAAAAAAAGAAAGCAATTTCTGCCGTTTTCCTACCGTGGTCCTGAGCAGGAGTGTGTGTGCGTCTCTCAGCGAGGTGTGTGTGCAGGTACCCTTAACGCCCCACTCAGGCAGCCAGTAGAGTAGGAGCAGCAGGAGACCCCCGGAGCACACGGTCCCTACACCCACCAGGATCATCTTCCATACACAGGGCCGATAACCCCACACCTCCTGCACGGACACACACTCATGTAAACACACTGAAGGGTAACACTTCTCTAAATGACTTGCAAACTTTCTAGATTTACTAGCCCAATATAGCATCTTAATAGCCCTTAGAAAGCGGGCTATCCAGTAACACGCAAATGCAAGGACCCTGAAACTGAAGCAGCTAAATAGAATTCAGTCTACATATAATTTACATCTGTACAACTGTATCCTAAATGTTATTATTTACACATGTCCTACTCTAGTGTCGCCTGTGTTAAAGGCCTGTTCTCATTCTAGAGTTTAAAAAAAAAGAATATTTTTAAAGTAAAGTAATTTCACTGTAACCTAGAACTAACTTTGCTTAAACAGGAATACATATTTATTTGTTGGGGACTATTTTCAGTAGCCGATTAACGGTGTATTTGGATTCATGAGTTATGTTTCACTGAAGAAACAGGGCAATTTGTCCAAAATAATCGGATAATGAGTTCCAGAAATGTAAGTGGATTACAGTCAACTCTGTAACAGATGTACATTCTGTACATTTTGATAAGCACTCTTGGCAATATGTCTTATCACAGGATAAAAAAAAAAAGAAGCTGACTCATCCTGGCACATACTGCTGATTGCCACCTTGAATTAAAGTGGGAACATGACCAATGAGGGCACGAGATAAGTTTGTGCACAGATGGAAGGCTGACAGGCAGGTAGGCCATCCAGTTATCTTAGCTGGGCCGGTAGGCCTTCCAGTTAATCTTAGCTGGGCCTGGGCCGGCTCAGATGATTGGTCGTGCTTTTTACAGTACCACGGCTTCCACAGATTTTTTTATGTATTTATTGTCAAAGCATTTAAATGTATTCATTGGTATCGGGATGTTAAGAGCATTCCATGGAATATAACAAAAAGTGTTTCTGAAGTGAATTACCTACCCCAACTTTAAGATGCAAACATTTGTTCATTTAAATCTAGTGGTGTTTTTGGTTTTTAGCTGATTGCATATAATTGAGAAATCTGATGTTTAGAAAATAAGTTTGATGTTTACCAAATATAGGTGAGATTTAAAAGCCCTGATTGGCAGATTTAGCACAGCTAGCTGTTTTAGCTTCTTCCTAGTGTTAAAGCTAACAGGCTGCTGGTCGTAGCTTTACAGTAAACACGCAAAAACAAAAGTGATAACCATCATCTTTTCTTACTTTATCTTGTGTTTTCTCACGAAAACTATGAAAAAAAACGGGGTATATGCATTGTGTAACTCTTTAACTTATTGGTTATTGACGCCCTCCATCCAAAACGGTGTCACTTAGTTTTACTTAAATTGCTGCTACACATTTCTTTAGCCATTTTTGTTTACTCATTGTCTTTCTTTTTTCTTTTATTACGAATGTTTTTTTTTTTATGTAGGCCTTTGTGACCTGCTATGCCACTTTTGCTGTAACACTGTATATGTCCTCGCTGTGGGACTGATAAAGGAATTCAGATTCAAACAGAAATGGATATTTACCATCTCATCCTCCAGTCCCTGGTTTATAATCGTCGGCTCTTTCGTCTTCATTCTGTCTGAAGTTCAACAACTGAGAAGATAAAAAAAAAAAGAGAGATCATTTTCTTTACTGGGACTCCAATGGGTGGTTTACTCGCTGACGCTTTCTTATCACAGAAGTCTCTACTCTGTCTGGTCAGCAAAGATGTTGCAATGCTAATAACGGTCAAGGACTTGAAATGGCCAAGTTTATTAACTTTGGAAAATAAACCCCAAAAAATAGAAGGTCAGTGAATATTCCAGTAATCCTCACAAAACACTAACAGACGTTTGTTTAGCGTTCAACATAGTAACACCATTGAGTAAACCTCATCTACCTGGTATTAATCCGGAGGAAACGATATTCCCTATCTTCATACCAGTCACGTCTTGAGACTTTGTGAAAAGCTTCTGGTACATTCATTGTCTTGTTTTTGAAACCTTTTAGATATTGTCCACATACATTTCCTGGAATATTAGCCGAGTCAATAGTTGAAATACGGCGTTACTCTGGCTTGATTGCATTGATTTTATCGAGTGCACTTCTGTAGGACTTAACTGAGCCTTTTAACACACCGACATGTCGACTCACTGACAACTTTATTGACACATTAGTGCGACACTCTTAGATGTAAAGCGTTGATCCAGGACAGGATGGGCCGTAAAACATGGAAACCTTTGCACCATGCAAATGTTACCGCTCAATAACTGTCACACCTACAGTAATGTTTGACTCACAGCCAAGCGCTATTATGTATGGGTCGTCTGGTATTTTACATCAATCATCTATATATTTCCAGAACTCAGATTTCCCGATTTAACTTAAGTTTCTATTGCCTTTTAACTTACCATTATTTCTTTGAAAAAAAGATGGTTTCCTTTTACCTTTCTCTACACTATACTGTTTATTTATACACAAAAGTGTGTGATTTGTTTTCATTTAAGACTGCTTGATCATTTAGGGCTTGTATGTCGTTATTTAGCTGTCTTTGTGAAACACATTATAACTTGAATATGGATAATTGCTCTTTAAATAAAGATTACAAATACCAAATGTAATAGTTATTGAGTTGAAGTTGACTGATTTTTGGGGGGGTTTCTGTAGATTTAGAGATAATATTGATATTATGCATTAATTGGGCCTAGATAATGCAATTAAATCTTATATCAGAAAAGTCCAGCTCCAAATTCATATTTTAGACAATTCCTCCACAGTTAATATGAAACTTTATTAATTACATTTATAGAAAACCAATCGTCCATGACAAATCTAACAGGCTTCTATGGTCTGATAAGACAAAAGCTTTTTCACCATCCCTCTTGTGATGGCAGCATCATGCAGTAAAATAAAGTAAATATTGCAGCATATAAATAAGTACAAATCCTGTTAGAAACACTGTTGGAGTCTGCAAGCCAACAGGGACTTTGGATAAGATTTATTTTCCAGCCGGACAAAGCCAAAAGCCAAAGCTACACCGGGCTGTCTTCAAAACAACTATGTAACAGTCCGACAGCAGCAAAGGTTCATATCCCAATCCAGAAACTGTGGCGATGGGGTCCCCATTGCTACCTGACATAACTTTATAAACGAGTTTTTATATGACAAATAACAGATGTGCAAACTTATCTACATACTCAACTCACGCCTCCCCTAAATAATGTGCATTTTTTTTTAATGGCACACTGACATTAGATTTTTAAGCATTGATGGAATACATTGACTAAAGTACTGTCCTTAAGCACAATTGTCCAGTACTTGTTCTTTATTTCAGTTTTATTGGAGTTTTAATTCACAGTTTTTCAACATTTTTAAGACAGACTTAATTTTTTTTTTTTATAGATATAAGTACAATAAACTAATACAGTATTAGAACTGCCTAGTTGATCGATCAATTCATCGGATATTTTTGGTCTTTAGTCAATTTAGATGTAGTTTGTTGATTAGTCACAATTCAAATTGTATATTTTTCTCATGCTGAGTAACCTTTTTTTTCAAGAAATTATGACGACATTAACCTGCTTGCAGCTAAAACATCAAGGTTATGGACACAAATGCATGAATAATTTTAATGCTAGAACATTCCAGTATTGTAACAGTAGCTCTATTTTTAAAGTAATATAATAATTATTCTGTAATGGGCCATTCTGCATAGAGTACTTTGACTTTCAGTAGTTTTAAGCATAATATGAGGCCAAGAGTGTTGTGGCTTTACTTGTATACCATGAATGTACGACTCTTGTATTTGTTACAGTATTTTACACTGTAGCACCTACCACTTCCATCACTTTCCAACAAATCCCACTAACCAAAACAAAACTCAAAAATCGATTTAACCTGAAGTTAAAGGGTAGAGTTTGTCGATACTTACGTAAACAACATGTTTAAAATGCGAAAAGGGAGAAAAAGCTCAAGTTATAAGTTTCCTATCAGAGAGAAAAACAAACATTCCCAGTTTCAACAGTATTGCATCACCAAACAGTGAATGAGGAGCCATTTGCAGTCGCTGTTTGACACTTTTGTTACAAAGTTGTTTCCGTTTCACAAGTTCCTTGTTGAGCCGTTATGGAGCTCCTTTACCTTAACATGAGACTGAAAATGAACATAAACACCGTGTAAAAAACCTCGAATTCACGCGAATTAACAACTTACCGACACTTTTCTCTTCTCAATCAATGCACGAGACGTTGCATAGTCAGGTGAACTAACGGTTGCATCAAAAGTTAGCTCGCGTGCCCCGTTCAGCAGCCTAGCAACACTGGAGATCGAACATGTGTCAGCAGACAGGCGCCGAAACAACACAGCTCCACGCCGCGCGGAGACAGGACCGTCCCAAACCGGTCCATTCAAAGGAAGTGAGGAAAACAGGATGTGAGGTCACAAAAGGACACCGGGTTTTGGATTAGTTAGTGCAAGTTGCAACAAATCGAAGTGTGGCGACGTGTGCAAGAGGGGGGAGAGGGTTGAAGATATGCAAAAGTTCCCATTAGAGCAGATACAAACTGTTTATAGCTGACGGCCCCTCATGTACTGAGGCTCAGTTCGTGCGGCGGACAAGGGTTCGAGCCCAGGCTGCTACCCGTTTACGTGTCATCCCTGCTATCTTACACGAGTCATTCTTCAATAAAAGAAAACCTTTCAAAAAATAAATAAAGGGGGAATACTGCTTAATTTAGTCATTAACGGGAGGACCTGGCATGTTTAGCTAGGAGTTATTTCAGGTCAATGGCTGAGAAGTTTTCAGTGACTTGGCTGAGATTTGAGTCCTTGCATAACCTTTTGGTTCTTCACTACAGATGTTACAACAAACTCAAATACACAGCTGGTGGGGGATTCAAATATAGTTTATCTTCACAATTAATCTTTTAACAACAACATTTGATAATAAGTTGGAGTTTTTTTTAACATCTGTTCAAAAAAGTTATGAAGTGGAAGGTTTAAAGGTTCAAATATATGATCATCTACAAGGTGTTACGTGTCTTACAAACAGGTAGGACTAACAATGCTCATTACATTTTCACAACCTTACATAATCAAAAGAACTGGACAGTTTTTAGATTAATCTCTGTTTAACTTTTCCCAGTCCAGTTAGCCTTTATTTTCAACTTCTTTAACAGCATCCTGTGGCGCGACAGCTCCAGATTTTTTACCTGAAGGAGAAACAAGGCAGAAAAATTGTTTTATTTACACAAGAAACATCAAGCTAAACCAGTCAATAATCAATATAAGACAGTAAATTAAAGTTGCACAAAAAAATAGCCCTCTAATGACAATGAACAACATGAGCAAGCAACAACTTTATACTAACAAAGGAATGGCTTATCTAAAGCCAGTTGAGTAGCACTTGAAATGTTTTGGCTCTTTGAAACTTATATGATTCTGTTTTCTTCAAGTTTGTATCTTCTTGGTCGAATGCACTTATTGTAAGTCGCTTTGGATAAAAGCGTTAGCTAAATGCAATGTAAAAACAGCAGAGTATTTCAAAGCATCATATGCAAGGGCAGTACAAATATTTTCTAAAAGAAGCTGCCAAAAAAGAAGGTGCATTGCATTTATTAAAAGGTCCCATGTCATGGCCATTTCTACTGATCATAATTCCATTGTTGAGGTACTACAATACATTTATATTGTGCAATTTTCCAAACTCACATTGGTTTCTCATACAGCATCTCTGTAAAGTATGTGTATTCACTCTCTGTCCTAAACGGCTTGTTGGAGCTCCTGCCCCCCCCCTCCCTGTGAGCCCAGTGGTCGTCTGCGAGACACAGCTAAACCCAGCCCGAAACACACATACACCCACAGCCTGGCTGGGAGTTTGTGTGTGTGCCCAGGCTGAGTTCCGCGGTGTCTCGCCGACCCCACACCAGTGAGCCAGCTCAGTGTCCCGCTCCTCGCAGCAGCGAGCCTCGCAACGTCCCGCCGAGTGTGTGTGTGTGAGTGAGGGAGTCCGCGGATTGGTCCAAACGTAACGGCTCCGCGGACGTTACATTACGTCACTATACCCAAAAAGTAAACAATGGAAAAAGAGAAATCTCCAAAAAGGCGTTCTGGGGCAGCATAGACAGGTCTTTTCTGTGTTTAGAGTTTTACTCGCTACAGGGTGTACTTTGAGGGTTTGACTCTGCAGACCGTTTACATGCAGAAAAAGCTACATAACACACAAGGGGACGGGTGATAAACGGAAAAGCATGACATGGGACCTTTAAAGCTTTTGTAGGCCTAATTGTTGGCCACTTGTGAGAGGTGCAACATGTTGTAAACATTTGCTTATTTAAACATAGAAGACACAGCAACATTAACATCTATAAAGTTGTGTTTGAATGTTATTCCAATATTCTCTTAGCTTAGTTTTTGGTGTCCTCCAACTAACTGCCCAGGCAATTATCTGGCTCTTTAGCTGTGAAATGTAAATTGCAAATATGTCTATCAGGGTTTTCTAATCTTGTGAATACCGTTTTTTTCCCACCATTATGTCATACTTCATATGTCCACAACAATATGTTACAGATGCGCCTAGGAAATACTCTTTTTACAAACTAAACAACCAAACACAAAAAGTATGCTGCTCAGTAAACACGGATACATTAGCCCAGAATGTTTCCCATTTGTCCAGAACATAGAAATATCACAGGACTAGCTGGAACAGGACTAACTTGTTTGCTACTTGGTTCTGGATAGAAGGCATAAAGTGTGTTTAAGTTGAGGTTGAAAGCATAGAGATTTAGCCAAAAACAAAAGAGTTACTATACAAAAAAACAACGCGTAAAAAGATGCTCTGCAAATGAGGGGAACTGCGGATCATTCATTGCATGTTTGTCGACTAGTCCCCTTTGATGTTATCAGTAGCCACTAAATCCAGTGTTACTATAAAAAAATAACACTAATTAGATCTTTCTTCTTCTCAAATTCTTCTTATAAGCATACAACTACAATGAGACCTTGATACACGCCAGTTGAACTCAAACATTACCTTTCTTTTTTCCTTTCCCACGTTTGCCTGCCTGACCTGCAGACTTCTCAACAGGTGCCTGGGGGGGCTTGGAGGGGAGTTTCGGACCTTTCGCAGCCTGGACCTTTGCATAAGTCACCGTCACTTTGCTGCCATCGATCTCACAGTCCTCCATGCTTTCTTTACCAGCTTTGCAGTTGTCTTCACTCTCAAACTCTACAAAACCAAACCTGAAAAACATTTCAATTGACACAAGTCAGTGTAAATCGGACTTCCAGAATAATCGAAAAAACATGTTAAAATTATGACAAAAAAATGTGAGGCTACCCACTTTTTTGAAACTCCCGTCTCTTTATCTACAGTGACTCTTGCACTTGAAGCTCCTTCAAAGGCACTTTTAAGAGTCTCGGCAGTCGTCTTCTCAGCGAGGCCCATCACGATCAAAGTTTTTAATGAGTCTAAAGAGGGGGAAAAAAACATTGTGGCTTTGGAAACAGTTCCAATGTATGATTTGCAGTAACTAAGGCGACACCGACATGGATAATAGAACATAAACAATCCCACATACGTTTTGCCTGTGCAGACCCTTCTTTCTTGTCGCAAAATTGTACTTTGATCTCCCTTTTTGAAATTGTCAATTTCTGGGATGACTGCAGGGCCTTCTCCGCGTGTGCTGCGGATGCAAACTCAACAAACGCAAACCTGCAGAGGATTACAGATGTTCTTGAGAACAGTCAAATGCTTTCTTTATTTGAAAGGTGAAGTGAACATGTACTTACCTTTTTGGTTTGCCTTGGCTTTTTGGCAGGTTGATACTAACGGCTTTCGCAAAGATTTTCTTGAGGTTTATTTCTGGCACATTGAAAGGCAGATTGCTCACAAATAAGGTTTTATTTGGATCGGCTGCAGCTGTGAGAAAGAAAATAGATAATTTGTCACCAGGTCAAATTGCTGAATCCAAATTTTGTTGATGGATATTGAGATGTTAAAAAGGCAGCAACAAACATATTTGAACCTCTGAACCCAAAAATGGCATGCAGGTGTGAAAGGCATGTTTTCTTTTCTTAATTTAGGGCGAAAATAACGCAATTTATCATAGCCAGGAATTCTAAAAACAAAAATGACAGCCTGATTTATAATGTGCAAATGCTTCTGTCAGAAAACGTAAAACTTTGCTTAAAATAGTGATATTTCACTTCATAAAACCACTTCATGCTCTATTTCAAAAGTCAACCAAAATAAAACCGTCTGCTCCAGGCAGATCCCTTAAAATAGATGCAATTCTGTGTTCCTGACGGAGATGGAAATCATGAACGGTTTCAGTAAATGAGTGAAACTTCAGCTGAGCTGCAGGCCATTCACACAAAGAAGAGACAACAAAAGTTTGTTTAAAGGGGCCCTATTATTCTCTCCTCAGGTTCATATGTATATTTCTTGGTCAATTGCTTAGAGATGTCCGAGCCCCTTAGCCTATCCCGTACAATGGGTTGGAGAGATAGCCAATAGAAGCAGGAGTGTTACATGGTGATGTCACTGTAAAACTCCCCGATATTTATAAAACTTTGGGGCACTTGGCAAAAAAGTTAAATATTTAGAGATTACGTTCTCGCATTTTAGGGGAAAGGAATTAAATCCCCAAAAGTTTTATTTTTTAGGCATTTTACCAATAACTGCACACAATAAATGCTTCAGTTCTCTCCACTTCTAGCCATGTTTGTGCTGTTTTCATAGAGGTGCAGTACTTTTAAATGACCAAAAGATGCTGTGGGTCTGCAGGTTAATAGGTATAGTATCACCTCAGTTATTAAGAGTACATTTCTAAATATCCAGTGATCTACCTTTAGTGTCGTCTTTGTTTTCATCAGTTTTGGTGACTTTCCCATTCTTTTCTCCGGCTTTTTCCACAATCAGAACACGGCCACTCATCTTGGCTCCTTGTTTTTGCTGCAGCACTGTTCTGGCAATAGCTTTGTTTGGGAACTCCACATAGGCAATGCTGTTGAAGAGTGAAAAAACAATTTATTCAGTACAGATTACAAATCATCCCAATCACATTACTAAATATATCAATTAGGTTTTGTGTACCTAGAAAGGGAACCTCAGAACATTTATTTTTAAACTCTTACCCTGTTTTTGGGGTCTCTGCTCCACCAGGAAAACGAACACAGGTTCCCAATTTGAAGACTTTCAGAATGTCTTTTGTTGTCGCTTCGTAAGGGATGTTCTTCAGAAACAAACATCTGCTATTTTTGGCTGCTAAACACAGAACAGCCCTCAAGTTAGACATTTCATATTTAACAACCTCCGTGGACCTTATGGTGTTTTACATTCCTGTATAAAGCCCCCATACATCCATTATTTTAGTTATTGAAAAACAACCATACTCATATGAACATAAGTTGTATAAACTCAACAATGAATGCCCTCTAGTGGTTTAAACGAAC